CACTGATCTAAAAATTTATATCATATCTATATCTATATATGATTCCACATAGAAAAGGAAAACGGAGATTAAAACTGAAAAGTCTGTGGACTTGCTTCCTATGCTCCTGAAACATACGAACACTGCTCTGTCCCACGAGTATTTTCTTCATTTTGTTTTTGAGTCAAGTTGATAATGAAGTAGGTAACTAGAGGCATAGCTAAACAAATATTGAAAAGACCTGTGCTCTACTGGTTCAAAATGAAAACTTACTCATCTTCTAGCAGAAGTTCAATGAGATGATTTCTTTGAGCGATGTAGAGGCAGGAGGTGGAGACAGAAGCTTCAGAAATTTTTTCACATACATTTTGACTACTTTACCATGTTTTAAACATCATGCTCTATGAGATTCACAGCTAGGAAAACAAAGGCCTTGCTGTAGGCCTCTGAGAGTTTAGTGAAAAGCTCAGGTAGTGATCCCGCAGTTATGATTTGGTGTTGTGATGGAGAAATATGGGATCTGGTGTAAGAACACAGGAGGAACACTTCTGGAGCAGTGGGGGGTATGGAATGCAAATGATAGGACCATCTTGGAGGAGAGTAAGGAGTTACCCTGACCAGATGACCCCAGAATCTGGAAAGGAGTTCACCACATGAAGAGTTTGAAAACAGATTTTCCATGTGGAAAACCCAACACCAGAGCATAAACAAATATGGCACATTCCAGGAACTGAAAGTTGTTTGGTCTGACTTCTGGTTTGGATGGCACATTGCTAAAGAAGTAAGAGACTAAGCTGGAGATAGGCAAGGGCCAATTAGGAATGAAGCATTAAACTGAGTTTAAAAATCTGGATTTTATGTTGTATACACTGAGATTAATTAAAGAATACCATATTCACATTAACAATTTGGAAACAAAATTCTGATTGTGGTGTGGTAGGGAGTATGAAGAGAGGAAATCTAGGCAACAGAATTAGTTTTAATCTTGTTGCAATAACTCAGGCCAAAAAAAAAAAAAAGTTGATTCGCAAAACAAGGCTTAGTGGGAGAAGGGGCTGAGAGTAATGAATGAGTCTGAGAGATATTCAAAAGGCGTAAGTCACACAACTTGGGGATCAACTCTATATGCAGGCAATGAAGGAGAGAGAGCAGACAGGGGAGATGTATTGTTTGTTCTTTGTTTTACTTGTTTACTTTGCATGACATTTACTAAGACAATAAAACACAAGAGTTTTGTAGGAAGGAAGATGATGACTTCAGTTCTCAGTATTTTGGATGCTGGGTATCTGTGAAGCATGTATTGAACATGCTGAATAGTCTATTGGAAATGTCATAATAAAAATCTGGGCTGGAGATAATGATTTGGGATCATCAGTTATGTGGCTTTTGCTTTTGAAGCCACAAAGTAGATGAGATCTCTTAAGAATATGTAGATTGAGATGAAGAAAAAGAACCATGACTAAACCCTTAAATACTTGTGCAGATGTTTAAGGAACCAGACAAAATGAGTCGGAGAGCTAAACTGGGAAGGCTGACCAGCAGGGTGAACGGAAAAACAGTTGAGTTTGGTGTCCTAAAAACCAAGAAAATAAAGGACTGGGAAAAGGTTGTAATCAACAGAGTTAAATAAATTGGTGAAAAAGAGGATCGTACTAAAAATTGTGTTTGGACCTAGAAAGAATATTATTATTTGCCAGTTTCCCTAGGTAAAAGTTCTTTGGTGAAGAAGAGAATCTAGATTGCCATCAAATGTTAAGGTTAAATGGGAGATGAAGGTGTGGTGTAGAACAATTCCTTCAAGAAATTCTGAAAAAGACATTGAAAGTTCATAAGAGAATTGCATGGAGTTTGGAAAGGGCTCTTCTTTCAAAGCAAAAAGACTACGTATCTTATGAGAAGACACAGGTACAAAATAAAGTAGGAAAATGAGTGATGAAGTAAGACCAATTGAAAGTGATCCAGAGACAAGTCGGATACAATGATACAACCTGCTCACATTTCTGACTGTTCAATATAGACATTTTCTGCATCTCCAACCTCTTGAGACGCAGAACTTGATAGTATTGTCCTTGGTTAAGAAATTCAGTATGGTTTGCTACTCAGACTGTCACCCTATAGTCTCTTATTCTATATTTCATTTCCAGTTTTATCAAACAGTATTGATGGAAGATTGAACAAGGAGCTTAACTTCCATCTCCCAAGTATTTATACCTTTTATAAAAAAGGTAATAGGGAGAAAATTGTATACTTGTTTTACTTTTAAATTTTACATGTTTTTATTTTAGAGATGTGGAGCTTCTCTCCTTTCAATTTTTTTATTTTAAAATGTTTGACATATAAAATTTGTACATATTTATGGGATACCACGTGACATGTCAACATATGTATGCATAGTGTAATGTACAATCAGTAAATATATCTATCTCTTCAAACATTTAACATTCCTTTAAGGCATAAGCTTCCAAAATCCTATCTTCTAGTGTTTTTTTTTTTAAACAGAAAAACATAGTGCATTAACACTTATAGTCACCCTACTGTGGAACAGAACCTCAGAACTGTTTACTCCTACCTAACTATACCCTAGTACCTATTAATAAATCTTTGTCTATCCCTCCTTACTTCTCAAGTATAAAAAAAATCCTCTTCCCCACTTTTTTTAAAAATTATTATCTGACATATCTGTATTTCTTCTCTTTCTGCTGCATCCTATGTTACAATTCATAGGTAACTACAACTTGAGCAATGTGGGCTTTTATAGTAACTATCTTTCTGTTATGGGTTTTAGATTGTTTAGGAAGGCATCTAGACTATTTAAACCTTGCTGTTGGACACTGTCATTGATTTGTATTTTATTGTGGTTTATTTGGAGATGTTTAGAACATTGGCTTACTCCTCTGGGAATTAGACATTGACTATTAAGCAGAAGAAAGAGACATTCCGGGTCTCTGAATTCTAAGCCCAGTCATGATTCTTTATCGGATCATCCTTGACAAGCCATTATTACTATCTGTACCTCATGTTCTTCCTTATAAAACGGTTGTGACCTTTCAGGTCCTCATAGTAAAAGTCTGGAAGAGCATATTGCAAGCCAATGTATGAATATAAGAAAATGACCCTTAATCTTAATAGCTAAAACAGGGAATAGAAACTCTATAAATAGAAGTCTAAATAATGGGCATCAGCTAAAGGTCTACTTCTGCCACTGGGTTTGATTTGAAGCCGCCTGTACCTCCCCAGATGTCACTGCAATGTGAATTCTAAGGTCAAAAGCGGCCTCCTCCCCACTGCTCCTTGTACAACTGTAAACTAGTCAGTTGCCCAAGTATCAGAAATGTCTCCTAACAGGGATTTACAGAGACTACGGCTATAGGAAGTTGCTTTTATAAGCAGAAAATATTCCTGTTCTATTCACTACTAAATGGAGTCCCTAATGAGAAGGAAGAGTGAGAAAAAAAATAAGATTATTTATTATTATGAACTCCTTCATGTTCTCTTGTCCTCTTCCCTCCTGGAGACACATACTGTCTCACGGAAAAGCACAAGCAGCTGAGATGGAAAAAAAAGAAGAAAAGAAAGAAAAAGTAAAACCACAGTCAAACCATAAACATTGCTATTTGTAACCAGTATATAACCTCTGTGATGAAATTTGTGAGTAATTCACTTCCCACTTAAGCCTACCAATGTGGGATCTGATGTTGCCACAGCAAACACTAATGAAGGAAGTCAGACAGCAGTACAGCTTGCCCGTGGGGACTCATTTTTCACAGCACCAAAGAGTAATTTCTGTCGTTTTCAACCATCTGGTAGCCTGGATTGTGAGGATGAAATTTCATTCAGGAAGTGCTTAGGAGCGTGGGCCTTGGAGTTTGCCTGGTTTCAGATTCCTTTTCTACCTCTCACCTAGTGCAATCTATGCCTCAGTTTCCCACCTATTAAAAAAAAAAATCCCCATAGGATACTATGTTTCCATTGTAAAGTTATTGAGATGATGCTTGTAAAGTACTCTGCATAGGTTCCTATGTATAGTAAGTTTTAAATTAAAGTTAACTATTAGTAGTGGTGATGGTAGTATTAATAGTAATTGTACTACTATTTGAATTAATGGTATAACCAGTACTCAAACAGTACTTTATACTTTGTGTTTCTGTGTGGGTGCAAACTGTTGAAATCTTTACTTAATATATACTAAATTGATGTTCTGTATATAAAGATAATTGAAAATGAATCTTGATGAAGAATGGGATGGGAGAAGGAGTGGGAGATGGGATGGTTACAGGTGGGAGGGTGGTTATGGGGGGAAAGAGCCGCTATAATCCAAACATTGTACTTTGGAAATTTATATTTATTAAATAAAATTTTTAAAAAAATAGTAATTGTACTATAATATTTTTGTAATGTCAACTTGCCTGTGATATCGGCCTTATTAATTCAGTTTTTAAGTTCTGAAGTTTATCACCTGGACTGTTATACATCAAGATGGTGTTTAGATGATTTTTTTTTGTAGTGATTAACCCATGGTTTCCTTATGTGGCCAGATCATAAGTACTACATCATATTAACATAACATTGTCATCTTACACTAACACTGATTTTCTTTCCATGGCATTTTAGAGGACAGATTGAACTTTATTTATTATCATGTGTATCTGTATATGCACATAAAATATATTTAGTACATTGATAAGAAAAATTTATAATTAATGTATACAGATTTGCATACTCTAATATTTAAATGAAGCTTATTTTAATCAGAAAAGAACTAGGACATTTTCAGTGTAGGGCTATGTGTACTTCCTACAGCACACAGATGGCCACAGAGGAAGGTATTTCCACCTTGTAGTCTAAAAATGGATGTGCAGATAGTTAATGATATGCATCTTAAAAGCACCTTGGCTACTTAACACAAGAATGCAAATGAGGTCATAAAAAATCAAATTCCCCGCTTCCAGGTCCATGCCCCAGTCCTGCAAGCCTCCTTTTACTGACATGGCTACATGTTCCATTTGCTTTTGCCTTTACAGTTCCACCAAAGATCTCCAACATCTCCTCGGATGTCACTGTGAATGAGGGCAGTAATGTGACCCTGGTCTGCATGGCCAATGGACGCCCTGAACCTGTTATCACCTGGAGACACCTTACTCCAACCGGTAAGAAACCCTCCAGTTCCAGGATGCCACATACTGATAAAGATACTCTCTTGCTCCTGAGATCTCAGTGGTCAAAAAGAGCAATCATGAATTGTGTTAAGAAAATACTAAGAACATTGCTACATACATCTTATTTAGAATCTGTATGGTCATTGCTAATGTGCTCAGTTTTATAAAGTTTACAGCCATTTTAAATAGGTCATCTTCCCAAGGTAAAAATAAAGGAGGATTAAATGACTTGATATTTTATCTAAAGTATATCCCAGTTTGGACTTGAGTGTCTTGGGGTACTGCTTTACATGAATTAAATTTACAGAATTGTTTGTTTGTTTTGCTTTGCTTCTTATAATCATCACCATAGCTAAGTTTCAAGTTCCTCCTGATTTTTGACATTTTTCTAAATGTTATACCAAATATTTGATATTAAATGCATCCATAGTCTTCTACTCTACCAAGTACATTTTCTTATATGTAAAACTATATCTTTACAAATGATTCAGTCTTTGAAGAATAGGACTTACTATTTAACTGTCCTAGAAAGAGGAACAATGGATCAATTACTCTTACAAGAAGCCTTTTATTTTGATAGAGCACTCCCATCTTTTAACCAACTTATTCTTTTAAAGTTTCCTTTTATATGTACCTATAGATTAATTCATAACATAATCATAAAAATAAGCAAAACTAAATATAAAATGGGTCTTTCTTAATATATTTCCAAAGGGCCAGGGTAGTGTTTGGATGTAACGACTTTTAGAATCTCTGTAACTTGTGGTGTAAGAACATAGAGCTTTCTTTTTTATTAGACTTCAATTTAATTTCTCAGGTAATGTTCAGACCAATCTATGGAGCAGTCTTATATTTAGGCAGTTATTCTTATTAGAGATTTCTGTTTTCTTAAGAAAATGTCACTCAAAACCCATCCTTATTAATATATGCAACTCATCATTTTTAACACATGTATACATACATATATCAAATATATATACTTCATATATATGTATCTATATATATAAAATATATATTTTTGTATATACATATATCAACAATGTGTGACAAAATACATGTGAGACTTATTTGGGAGATCAATTTCAAACTCACTCTCACAGATTTGTATTATGCCTTACATGGGAAAAAAACACATGAAAAGGATTATCTGAGGAATGAACTGGCAGATACCACATGTTTCCCTTAGAATAAATTAAAATTTCAGAGCACATTCTATTTGATTGGCATTATATTAGCTCCAAAATCCATGCCACCTAGCCCTATCTCAAGTAGTATTGTTTAAAGATGGCAATTTGGTGTAAAAGCTATTTGCCTATAATAAAAGATGGTATCAAAGATGCCCTCTAAAATTGTTTCACTTACTCTAATGTTGTGGAGAGATTATTCATTTTTATATAATTTTCTTTTGAAAGGATCCCTTGAGGGAATTCCCCTTTGTCTAGTGTTATTTTTCTAAGCAAATTTTGTGAAGGACCCAGTGCATGTTTATAAGCGATTGTGAGTCCTTCATTGTATTGACTGATAACAAACATCAAGCTAAATTTATAACCCATCTGTGAAAGAATATAAATTATTATACATAAATTACACACAAATAGCATTTATTTTAAACAAACTACATAGAAGTTTATGGCATCAACATAGACTACACTTCTGCCTTTGTCTTATTTTCTGACTGTTATTTTATCTCACTTTTTCTAATTAATCATCTATATAAATATTTTATTTTTAATTTCTCAGTCTCTTGTGGAAAAAGTTGGCATATAAAGGGCCGGCGCCGTGGCTCAATAGGCTAATCCTCCACCTTGCGGCGCCGGCACACCGGGTTCTAGTCCCGGTCGGGGCGCCGGATTCTGTCCCGGTTGCCCCTCTTCCAGGCCAGCTCTCTGCTATGGCCAGGGAGTGCAGTGGAGGATGGCCCAGGTGCTTGGGCCCTGCACCCCATGGGAGACCAGGAAAAGCACCTGGATCCTGGCTCCTGCCATCGGATCAGCGCGGTGCGCCGGCTGCAGCGGCGGCCATTGGAGGGTGAACCAACGGCAAAGGAAGACCTTTCTCTCTCTGTCTCTCTCTCACTGTCCACTCTGCCTGTCAAAAAAAAAAAAAAAAAAAGTTGGCATATAAAAATGGAAAAGAAGAGGGAGAAAGATATATTCCAATTATGATCAAGCAATGAAGTATATTAATAGAAAGCCATTATTTCTTTTAATGCAATATTATATAGTAAATATTCTTTTCAGGAGAAAATATCATTTCTGTTCAGAACCCAAAAATAGGTTCTGTTTTGTCCCTTGAATAGAAAAATTGTGAGACAGAACTAGACTTTCAAAGGTCTTTTCTAGCTTTTCTAGAAGTTTCAGTCTTCATGTCCAACCATAATAAGCTCCCTGCTCTTGAAGTCCATTAATGCTGTATCCCAGTCTGTCTTACTGCTAAGTGTGTAACTCACTCTAAATTGTCAGCATAGCTTCTGATCACATGGGTTTGAACCTAAATAACCTGGTTTTCTCTGATGTTTTAAGTCAAGAAAAGGCCAATGGCAAGTCATTATCTTCCAGAATTAAGACAGTTTATTTGCATACTCTCAAGAATATCCTAGATACTTCAAAATCAACTAGAAAAACACATGAATTTACAGGGATTCCCAGTAGTCAAAAACAGAGGTCAGCAAACGACAGCCTGGAAGTCAAATCCAGTCTTCCCTATGTACACAGTACCTGCAAGCAATAGTTTTTAAATTGCTAGAAGATTGGGGAAGAGGGGAGAATTTTTTAAAAAGAATTCTTTCACATGCAAACAAATCATGAAATTCAAATTGTAGGGTACACACATAAAGTGTTATTAAAACAGCCATGTTTATTCATTTACACATTTTCCATAGCTAATTATTTTTCTAAAGCAGTTGAGGAGTTGCACCAAAGACCACAGAGCCCACAAAGCCTAAAATATGAAGGGACTTCATATTCTCACAAGGTCCATAGAAAATGGAATTACAAGATAAATTTATTTTGATGCAAGATATTTGAGAAATCCATGTATAGTTTTACAATAAAATACATTCTCCATGTACTTTTTGAAGAGCCATGATATTTTTCCATCTGGCCTCTTGCAGAATAATTTATAAACCCCTACATAAGACCATGGATGGAGACACTACACAAAGATTTGCTTTAGTCACCCATGGTCCCATAGGGCTTTGTTTGTATCTTCCGTCAAGTTCCTTCTGATATTTCAAGGAAGATAGCTTATTCTTCTATAGTCATCCATCTAGGCTCTCTCTGTGGTCAGGTTTGATTCTGACACATGCAAAATTAGTTCCCTGATGTGTTTGCAGACTGGAGGGCAGATTATTATTCTCTCCTACACTAGTCATTCATTCCCATGCCTACTTTTTCATCTCTCTCACATCTGCCCTCAGAAAACACGCCATGATAATCATCCTCCTGGTGACATGAGAATTTACCTGTACTAGCCTATACAGGTCACTAGGATGTTTTATGAACATGGTTGGGTTTTTGTGCTTTCTTTTAATTCTTTTAAAGATTTGGAAATGAGGTGATTCTCCCCAGCCCATCGTGCTAATCTTTTCTTGGAGACACTCTGAGAAGAGACTGTGTTCTCTGTGACTGCAAAGCCGCCTGCAACCCGTGGCCATATGAGAGGGAAAAAAAAAGCCCGGCTAACTTTGTTCAATTATTAATTGCGTCTTCCACAGTACAGAGTGTGACTGCCTTGCAGAGGAAATGTACCTGTAATTAGCTCCACCCTAAAGGGATATCAAGCCTGAAATGGGAAAGATTTTACTCAGGGATTGTAAATACCTGATTACCTGTCACTTGATGACATGAGGGAGGGAAAGGAAAAAAAAAATAGATGCATGGAATAATTTTATGAGAAGAAAATTAGCTGCTAATTCAGTTCTTATATTTTTTTCTGAAGTTTTACTTAGGCCATTTGGGTTCTCTTTGTTTTGACACCTAATGTTGCTTTTTCAAATATATTGCAAGAGTTTTTAAAGAAGGAGATTGAAAGAATGGTGAATTTTCCATATATTCGAAATCTAAATGTCTGACTTAAATGGAGTAACAGTAATTGATGTATTCCTTGGTTGCCTTTCTTATATTTCTGATTTCTTAATTTTTCTCTCTTCTGCAGTTATTTTATTTAGTTAAAATGATGTGTCACATATGTGGTTATTAAATGTGACCTATTTTCTCCCTTAATTAAGTTAGACTTTCATAATTCTGTGACTCCCGGAGGGCAATTGCACCGTAACATGTATTTTCTATGCAGTGTTTGATCTCCTTCTGTGAGCAGTGCTGTTCCCATCTCCACTTAACTTTGTTTCTAAATCGTTCTTCTCACATTCCTGAGGAAGTCCCCTTTTCTCAAGTACATCAGGTGATGTCAGGATTTCTCAGGGTTACAAAAAGAGTTTCTGTGTGTTCCATTTTCCACAAGGCCGTTCACAACCTCAGTAGCCCTCCAGACCTGAAAAAAATCATAAGGCACACTGAGGATTTGCCCCTTAGGCTGAGAACTCAGGAGGTACTTTGTAATGTTCTTATCTAGCCAAAACTCACATTTGACAACAACACACAACCTAGAAATCTCACTTAAGAAATACTTTGCATTTTGGTGGAATGAGCAGGAAAATACTATGCCGGGAGGAGCTAAGAAGACACCGCAGAGTCTGAAATAAGTTTTCTCATTGCATATTGAGTTTTAGTTGCTCAGTCTGAGAGTTTCCTTTCATTTCCAAGTCTGAACGGTTAATTGATGTTGCTCTTGAGCTCCGTTAATGCTGTATCCAAGTCTGTCTTACTTCTCAGTGTATAACTCAACCTAAATGGTCAGGATAGCTTCTGATCACATGGGTTTGAGAAAAATATATATTGTTAAGCTAATTTCATTTCTTTAAATCAATTCTGAAAGTACAAGTTGCAAGTAACTGTCATCTGGCCTTTGGAATTATCAAGTTAAAATTAGTA